CTAGCGCTGCCAAGGAACAGAACAGAGGATGCACAAACAATTCCAGGCATAAAGATCACACTCTTGATCTTTAACAAAAGAGCTAAAAGCACAAAGGGGAGAAAGAGATTCTCTTTAATAAATAGTACTTTATCCACACAGAGAAGACTGAATCTAGACCCATATCTCTCACTATATACTAAACTAAAAATGACCAAAGATCTTAATATTACAATAAATATTTAACCTGGTAAAAGATAAAATAGGTAAAACTCTTAAAAGTCATAAGCATATGCATGGACTTTCTGAACAGAACCCCAGTTATACAGGAAATAATACCATCAACAAATGAGATTATATCAAATTTAAAAGTTTCTGCATGACATAACAACCTCCAGAGTGAAGAGCAACCTAAAGAATGGAAAACTTTTTGCAAACTATCCTCAGACACAGGACTAATAGCTAGAATATATAAAGAACTTAAAAAAAAAAAAATTAGACACCCCCCCAAATAAAAGACCTAATCAAAAAGTGAGCAACTAAAATGATGAGACACTCAATTGAAATGAACAGATACTTCTCAGGAAAACTACATATGACCAATAAATATATGAAAAAATGTTCAATACTGCTGGCCATTAAAAAAAAATGCAAATTCAGACAACACACTGAGATTCCATCTTACTCAAGGAAGAATGGCTGTCAGCAAGAAATCAAGAAGCAAATGCTGGCAAGACTGTAGGGGAATAAGGAACCCGTCTACATTGTTGGAGGGAATGTAACTTAGTAACACGACTATAGAAATCAATATGCAGAGTCTTCAATAAATTAAAACTAGAAATTCCATTAGACATAACCATTTCCTTTCTAGGTATATTCCTGAAAGAATTAAAGACACTATTACAGTGATACATGCATACCCATGTTTATAGCAGTACAACTCATAACAGCTAAGTTTTAGAAGTAACCTACAAGTCCATTAACAGATGAAATGATAAAGAAGATGTGATATTTAGTATTTATACACAATGGAGTACTATGTCACAAAGGATAAACTAGTGTCCTTTATAGGAAAATGGATATACCCTGACACCACAGTTGTTTTTGTTTGTTTTGTTTGGTACCAGGGATTGAACTCAGGACTTTGCACTTGCCACACAGGCACTTATGCAGCTGAGCTATTTCTCCAGCCAGATGAGACCACACTGTTAAGCGAAATAAATTAGACACACAAGTTTAAATATTGCATGATTTTTGTTACATGAGAAACCCAAACCTAAAGAATAAAACATAGAAAATAGGGAGATCTTTTTCAAGTGGGGAAGTTATAAAAGGTGGAGGGGGCAAGGGAGGGAAAAGGGATGGAAATGTGTTATGTATATGTAGCAATTCTCCACAAGAAATGTAATAGTTATATTCTATAAACATGCACTAATAAAATATAAAAACTTATAAAAGAAAAACATCCATCAATATATAACCAAGTACAGATTATTTTAGGAGTGCAAAACTTCACAGACATTAGAAAATTAACCAATGTAGCTTTCTAATTTAACAAAACAAAAAAAGAACATATGTATAGAAAAAAGCATATGACAAAACTCAACACCATTTATGAAAAATTTTCAGAAAACTTGGAATAAAAGAGAATTTCTTAAATTTAAATAGTGATGTCTATGAAAAACCTGTAGTTAACACTATACTAAGTGTTAGATTAGGAACCAGTCCAAAATGCCCACTCTCATCAGTATTCAACATTATGTGAAATGTCTTAGCTAATGTTATATAAAGACATAAAAAGAAATACAAAGTGTAAGATTGGAAAGAAGCTAATCTATCCTACTGATAGGTAATACAGTTATTTATACAGAAAAGCCCATAAAATTTATCAGTGACTTTATTTTTTTTTAATCAGTGACTTTAGAAATCTCTTAAGAAATATGACATACAACACAGTATAAAATATTAAAAAAAATTCTATTTCTGAGGAAAGATAGGAAAAAGAGAAAATAATACTTTTTAAAGAATTCAATTTTACTATTAGAAAACAAAGTATTTGTTTAATTCATTAAATGATAAATTTAACAAGGTACATAAAACCAAACATCGGTGAGAGAAATTAAAAAAATCTTATGAAATGGATAGTCTTTCCCTTGGCTTGAAAATATCATCAATATTATTAAGATGTGAATTTTCTCTGGATTGATTAGAATCATCCCAGAAGGCATTTCTTAAAAATAGAAGCTGACTAGCACATTCAAAAATTTATGAATCCAGGTGTGGTGGCACACACCTGCAGTCCCAGCAGGGACTGGGAGGCTAAGGCAGGAGGAGTGAGTTTGAGGCCAGCCTGGGCTACATAAATGAGTACAAGGCCAATATGAACTACACAATAAGACCTTGTTTCCAAAATATAATTCAAAGGATCTAACGTAGCTCAAATAATCCTAATAAAATAAAGATGGTGGAATCACACCTCATATTGGCGCATCACTAAACAGAGTTCAATGGAAAGCCTAAAAATAGGCCTACATTTATATAGTCCTTTAATGAATGAGTGGTGAAAGATTTTTTTTCATAAATACAGAAAATAGAAAAGAAAAACTTACAAATGAAACATTCTCAAAATTAAAAATTTATGCTCATTTTAGATTCATGAACCACCATGATCAAATACACTACAAGTGGATTTTCCTATTTCTTTTTTGTACTTTACCAACATCTGCAAAGGGCAACCAAAGCACAAAAGACACATTGCTAAATGAGTCCCCTCAAAAATTCCCCTTTAATTCTCTTATCTACCCCTCATCCTTGCCTACTATGCTGGAAGTCCTCCTTCCTAAAAACATTATAATGTCTCTTCACCCACGTTATTCACCAGATCTTGCACCATGCAAATTCTGACTCTTCTTTGAACTCAAAATGACCATGAAAAGTAAACATCTTGAACTGATTCAAGTCACTGAAGTAGCTCCAACAGCTCAACCAAAAGCAAAGTGTTTGAAGTGAGGGGGGAGTATGTTGCGAGAGGTAAATAGCAATGTATTTTTTATTGTAATAACTGTTAAAATTTAAACATATACTATACTCTTTACTATACTGTGTAAGTAATAAGCATATTTGTTCCAGAATTCAATGGAGCTTTGTTTTTTGAAAGTATTTTTGTCAAAAACACATATGTACAAAGGGAAAAGACATGAACTACAGGTATATAGCTCAATGAATTTTCATATACTAACACGTTAGTACCAGACCCAGAGAAAGATCAAGACACAGACCTTTATTTCACTAACACTCTGAAAGCTCTCTGTACCATTTCTTGTCACTCTCTGGTCCCTCCAAGAGTAATCACTACCCTACTTCCAATATCACTGATCATAATTTAATTGATTTTAATTCTTTAAAACTAATTTGAATATACAGAATAGTAGATGGTGAAGAAATGACAGTATACAGATATCTTGTTCCAGATTCAAGAGTATAAAAAGTGTATCAATTACAGAAATTTTAACACATCTTTCCAACACAGTATACTTTTGGTTAAGAATATCCTCTGTCTCACCTTGTGCCTCCCTCATGGAGGTGGTTCTCACAAATCTAAAATTTTCTTTCTTTACCCTACATGTATACTCTCCTCCCATTCCCATACATTTCTAGCATGGTGATGCTAGAAATGTATGAGATTTAGGAATCTCTTTTCTCAGCACAGAGTAAATGAATACTGGAGGACAAGGACCCCCACTTTGCTCCATTCTGAACTCTTCCTATTCTAGTCACTGTCCCCATCAAAATGGGTACACAGTAAATGACTATCTATCCCTTCAAAGCTCATTGGTAGAAAAGCTGTTAAATGAGCACATTTGTATTAATATTTCTAGATCATAAAATCCCCTGCTCTATGAATAAATAGGCTGAGAACAACAAACACAAAGATTGTAATACATAATCCTAGAATGTTCTCATTAAATTTAAGAAAGGGGGGGGGGAGTGCTAGGGAGATAGCTCAGCAGTCTAAGCGCCTGCCTGGCAAGCTTAGCAGGTTTGATCCCCAGTACTGTGTGTCAAGCCAGCCCCAGAACCCCAGGAGAGCCGTGCCACCCACTGAAACAGGGTGTAGTCGCACATGCCTGTAATCCCATTGCTGAGGCTAAAACATGAGGATCACTACAAGTCTGAGCTGCATAGTGAGACCCTGCATGTACCAAATAAATATACAAATAAAAGATTTTTTTAAAAAATAAACAAATAATGTAAAAGAAATTGGGCCCATACTTTATTCCAGTAAAAACTGAAGTAATAATTCAAGGAAATAATGCTGAATTTAAATGCATGCATAAAAATTAAGTAACGCATTACTATGAATACTACCTTTCAGAATAAAAACAAGGTTCTGATTACCACATGGAAAGCTATACTTCCAAAAGAAAAAAGGAATAAATTTTTACTGACTCAAATGAACAGATACAATAAGTAAATAGTATGATCTTATTTTAATTTAACTAATAGTATTAATCCCATCTTATTAAAATAGTAATGACATTGATACCACTGTATTAAAAAAGAAATTCTAATTTTATGTGGGCTAATCACTTTTATTGACCTAAATGAAACAATAACCCTGTTACTGACATTTATCCATATAAACATATTCACATTAACTTTACCACAAATAAATGAATTTATCCAGAACATTTTCTAGAAATACAGTATGCCTTTTGTTTTCCATTAGGAAAACAAAACCAGGCATGGTAGCACATATGCGGCATCTCAGCACTTAGGAGGCTGAGGTAAGAGGATTGCCATGAGTTCAAGGCTAGCATGGACTATGGAATGACTTCAACACAAGCTGGTACTATGCAGCAAGACCCTGTCTCAAAAAAATAAGAAAACAAAAACAATTTTTCTATAAATGCTTGATATAAAAAGTATTCATTAGCTTTTAATTAATGGGGCAAATGTAATACAAAGATCTATATAGTTGACACTTATAAGTAAAGGAATAATAAAAAAGCTTTACTTACTGCTATTTCTCTACATGCTGACATAGAGATCCCAGTTCCTTCTATTTGTTTTAAAGCATAGTCTTTATCATCTTTCCTGTAAAAACAAAGTTATTTTAATATGCAGATAAATCTATATTTATATGCATTTTAACCAAGAAATATAAATTATGTCACATATTTAATACATTCAATACATTTGACGTGATCACACATTACAAAGCAGGAAAATTCTTTATATAACATGGGCTAGTTCTATTATTTAAAGAACTTAACTTGTCAAGACTTCACAACTACTTATGGAAGAGATTCACACAGAGCTCTAGACTTATAGTAATAGGTTGCTTTTAGTCTAATATATGTATTTCTCTACATATACTAACTCAGATACCAGTGGGTTGAAAAGAGACAAAAATTTATCACTACAACACAAAATGGTTATAATTTTAAAAATATAATCATTATCTGATAACTACTTAGGCTTCCTCAAGTAACTAAGAGGTATTTGTTCAACATGCATGTGTTACACATTTACTCTGTATCTAGAACTATGTTAGGTATTAGGATACAGGAGGACTCTTTCAGGAAGATTTCTGTCTCTACATGAACAAATAATCTGCCTTAATACAGTATAATTGGTGCTATCATTGGGTAGTTATAAACCAATAAAGGTTACCTAAAGTTCCTCTGGTGGAGGAACTGAGCAAAGACTTCTAAGAAATATCTAACTAGGGCCAGCCATAGCTCAGTGGATTAAAGCACCTGCAAGCAGGTGCAGAGGCCGGGGTTTGACCCCTCCACTCCCTCAACCCCAGCCTGCCATGCCAGCCCTGAGGGCGTGCTGAGACAGCAACTGAGACTGGGCGTGGTGGTGCTTGCATGTAATCGCAGCACTTGGGAGGCTGTAAATAGGAGAATCACTAAAAGCCCAATCTAGTAGTGAGACCCTGAACACCCTGTAGACCCTTCCCTAAAACACAGAAAAAAGTATCTGATGAGTTAACAGTTGTTCTGAAGCATTTTGGACTCAGACCCTTTATTTATTATCAATACCTACTCTATAAGAATTTAAAGATAGAAACTTTTTTTTTTTTTTTAAGATAGAAACTGGGCCAGGGAGATGGCTCAGTGGAATAAGTGCTTCCCTGGCAAGTGCAAGGGCCTGAGTTCAATCCCTGGTTCTGCCAAAATAAATAGATAAATAAATAAATAAATAAATAAATAAATAAAGATAGAAACTTTTAAAAGGCAAAGATACAAAAGGATATAAAAATAATTAATGTTATAGTATTGTGATTTTTTTAGAACATCTGAAAGGATCACAGGAACATATAGGTGTTCCCAGATCACAGTATGAAAATTACTTTGTGTCAGTGATGAAGTATATGAGGTGAAAGAAAATAAAATATTTAAGAATGAATATACTACATAAATGCACATTATGAGGCTGGAGATAAAATTAGGATCCAGAATCCAAAAGTTTTTACTCCAAAAACAATAGTGAGGGGGACTTTACAGGTTTTTTTGTTTTTTAAGGACAATATCAATTATATTTTACATGGGAAATAGATCTTTGGTTGCCTTGTGGATGCTCAGAGAAAATTAAAAGAACAGAAACAAAGAATAATTAAAAACAATTAGTGTTAAAACTAATCAGTGAGCAATGAGGGTGTGTCTCAGTTACTCTTCTCTTGTTGCTGGGACAAATATTTGATACCCAAATGAAGGAAGGAAAGGTTTATTTATTTAGTTCACAGTTTCTGGAGGTTTCAGTCCATACTCAGCTGGCGCCAAGGCAGAGTGGCACATGGCAGAGAGCAACCTTTCATGGTAGAAGCAAAGAGCAGAGAAGAAGGGCGTGATAGCATCTCAGGCAGCTAGCTAATCTCTCCCCTCACAATGTAATGCAAATTCCCTGCCCCAGGGCAGGTGAAGCAGCCACAACCAAAATAATCAGTCATAAACTCTAGGAGCTGCTCCATGACTGTGAGGCTTTGGGGGGACAACTAGACACAACCCCTAACAGGGTGGTTACTGAAGAACGATGGTTAGTGCAGAGAGTAGAGTGGAAAGAAATAAGGTTGAACCAATAGCACTTGGAGTAAAGAAGCAGGAGTCAAAGATAAGGACGTGCACCCTCAGCAACAAAGAATGACATCAGTCCCCGAAATAAACTCAGCAGGAAGAAATGATCTGGGAAAAGAAGACACTTCCCTTTGGTGAAGGTTGAATTTCAGTAACCTGCAAGTTGTCTAGATGAGCATGGCTGATGACACACTGAAGGAAACACTGCTAAAGTCCAAGAGAACTGAATGATGACACATGGTAGGTTTACAATAACGGGCATATCCACAAATAGCTAAAGCTTTGCGAGTAGATGCAATGAGACCAAAGAGAAAGTATGTCAAGAAAACAATTTTCAAAAAGGATAGAGTAGTAAACCACTACAGGTATCTGTTAAGAAAAGACCTGAGAAGTATCTACTGAATTTAGCAATAATAAAGCCACCAGTGATTTAGTGTACTAGACAAAAATTTCAGGGTAATATAGTGGCAGGATCATACAGAAGGATGAAGAATGAATGGGAAATAAGTAATCTGAGACAATTAATAGAGATAATTTTCTGAAAGGAAGAAAATGTTTTTCTGAAAGTAGAGATGAGGTTTTAAATCAAAAAGAAGGGTATAAGTATTAGGTTTAGGTACAGTGCAAGTTTGATTCAATAAAGTAATAGCCTCTTGTAAATAATGTTCATTTATTATTTTATTGTTTTAAGACTTAAATTGCTTTTATAACATATTTAACACCAAATCCTTAGGAAAATCAATCCCAATTACAACATTATTTCCCTTGGGTGGGACAATCAGTTTTATAACATACTTTTTAGTAAAGCCGCATAGACACCTCCTACATTAAAAAGATAATCCATATATAATGCTAAATCTAAATAATTTTTGAAAAGTTCAAAAAGAAAAATGCAACTAAGATGTTAATAAGCTTTAAACACATGTACTGATAATTAAACAGGTGGCTAGTCACTAATATAACTCATTGTATTGTATCCACTATATGAGATTACCACCCTACACTTGAGCTCTTCAAGGAGTACATGATGGGAATGTAAGTATTAAATTAAACCAAATGCTCACCCATTAAGATCCTTAATATTCACTACATTTATTAATTTAAAAATGGTCAAGTTGCTAGAAGACAATTTCTCAATGGACTAAAAAAAGGTTCTGTGTGTCAGTAAATCCCCTTTCTCAGCTAAGCAATGCTGTCTTACTTTATAAAGTTATTGAAAAGTAACATGCAACAAGGATAATATCAAATATCAGAACAACTATTAATTATAAAAAGGAAACTTCTTTCTGAAAATCACTAAATATAAGCACCACCATTACACAACAGTGCTTTGTCACTTACAAAACATGCTTACTCCTTTGTTCATCCTCACATTTTTTAGTAAAAGTGATAAAGGAGATGAAAAAGACTGGCTCCCTAGTTTCAACAATGACCAAGTCAGATCATATGTACGAATAACTGCAATATAGTGTTCTAAGTACAGTTCACCTTTGAACAATGTAGGTTTGAAATGTATGGGTCTTCTCACATGTAAATTTAGGGGACGGGGATTTGTGACAACTTGAAAATAACTTGTAGGTGAACTGCGTAGCTAAGAAATATTTTTAAAAAATCAAGAAAATGGTAAGCCATGAATACACATAATATATAGAGAGGAGTCTAGTTTACCATTTATCATAAAATATACACAAATCCATAGTAAGTACCTGGCTTAGGGATGAACTCCATTCTGGGGGAACATTCGTAAGTCAGGATTGTTTATAAGTCTGACAAAATGAGTTATCTATCTTTGACACAAATAGGTAATGTAAAGCATTAAAACACACATGCATTCTGTAAACTATTCTTACTTTTATAATTACCTTAAAATGGTGGTGCAGTACAGCACAACAACGGCCATATAGGCATGATGGAGTGAACCAAGAAAAAAAGAGTTACCGGCTGGAAGAGTGCGAAATGGTGGAGCTGAAGGAACATCAGCAATAGGAGATGGAGGGCAAGATGGAACTTTGCTCATACCTACTGTTCATGACACAGGTTTTTTGATGGATTCAATTCTGTCTGTCCTCTGGAAAAAAATGATCCAATGATATCTGACTAGTAGCTCTTTTATTTTTTCAAAGATGACTTTGCAGCACTAGATGGCATTCTGAATGGCTACTGACTACAACCTTTGTGTACTGTTCTACACTGGCTTCCTGTACCTCAAAAATTAACAGTGTCTCATTAAGTAAAAAAAAATCCCCTTGTCATTTCCTGTATTGTGAATCTCTCTGGTTCTTCAGTTTCATCTTCTTGGCACTCTTCATCTTTCCACTGGGCCTCTAATTCTATCAAATCTTCATTAGTAAGTGCTGGTGTTACACAGCAGAGTTCAGGGAAGTTGTCCTCCTGCAGATTAAGAGGTACTGACTTCCTGCCAAGGCTCACTAAGTCACTGAAGACCGCTTTGGACTCCTTTCCCACCTCCAGTCCATGCACATCATGAACAAACAGCGGGCAAAGGTTTTTCCAAACCCCATTCTTGGTAACAGCCAAAACTCATGCCACACAAAATTATGATTATGGCCTTGCAGATGTTAGAGTCTCTTCCAAAATTTTCCACAGGGTTGCTCTGTTTCATCTATTGCTTTTGCTACCTGATGAAAAGTGAGGTAAATAATCTTTCTTGAAAGTCACAATAACTCCTTAGTCCATACATTGGATGAGCGCTGTTTTACTTTTCTCATTTGAGATAAAATAACCAATATTCAAAAAAGGTTTATTATTGTTCATAGTTCATAGTTTGCTGGCTCCAAGGCAGGGTGGCACAGCAGAGGGGTGTTCCAAAGGAGAAACAGTTCACAGCAAGCAGAAGGCATCAAAGTAATAAAGCAGCAGCAAGCAACAAGCAGCAGCAACAACAGCAGCCCTCTCTCTATCCCTTATACTCAACCTACCTGGCCACAGGCAGGAAGCACCCACACTGAGGATGGGCTTTTTCATTATCCACAGCCAGAACTATGCCACGCC